ACATTGAGCTGGGCGTCGCATGCCCCCGGGTTTTGTGTAAACTATGTCTCACATCTCTGAATGGTCCACGTGTAAACATCTCACTGTATTCAGATGCACTGGCTTAGCCAATGACACTGCTGTGTGCCGTTATGTACATGTACTGTTGCTTTGCTTGGCAAGGTCATTTATTTTGTCCATATTTGGGCGCTATGGATAGATGATCAGAGTTTATTTGGAGTCACCTCATGGCATTTCCTGTCCTCTCTGTGGTTCTTTGGTGTTCTTAGTGGTCGTTGCAGGCATTTGAAAAGGGATTATAAATGAACCTGTGTTGCTCTCAGGTGAATGGAGAGACACAGTGTGTACCGTACCTTCCTAAAGTCTCTAACACCTTGGAGGCGGGTGTTGGATTTTCTTAAGAAGTCGTGACTGGAACAGTACTCACTCCTCCTCTGCTCCGGCAGGATGCCTGGGAGCTGATGTACTGCAGACAGAGCATGACCTGGAGAAGGACTTCACATCGCCTCCAGGCTAACGGGCTGTTTATTTGGCATGCTCCCTGATAGTGTATCAGATAACTGATGCATTCTTTTGATTGAAGGACAGCTTGTTTTTTTTTTCAAGTTGGAAACACCCAACTTGTTAACAGTTTATGTTTTAGAAATGAAAGAGTATGTTTCTCCATGACTGGAGACAGAGCTGAAATATGGCACATTTCATCTCCCACATCCTCTTTCTCCTGTCTCCCTCATGCCAAAATTGATAATTATGAAAATTCCGTGGCAGAGTCTTAGATATTTATCCCTTAGGAGTCAGACCTATTCTCTTAGAAAGAGCTGAATTCTAATGTCGGAAAGATTGGCCAAAAATATAGTCATGAAACATTTTTGTGGCCTCAGTATCATGATCTTGTCAGGAAAGCGATGGTCTCTGATTAAATCCAGATTGAGCTGTTTCCTGTTAGCGTGCTAACCCAGAGGGCAGGCTCAGCCCTCCCCGCCTTGCCTCTGAGTCTGGGTTATTAAACACTTGTCTGCCAAGCCCCTCCCCCCTTCACTTTTCTTTTAAACTAGAATTCAAAGGTATTGAGATATTACAAACAAAAAGATCCTAAAGCCTCTTAAAAGGGTTATGTAGCTTTAAAGTCTCTTAAAAAGGTTATGAATATTTTGCTGCAAAGATAAAACCAAAATTTTAGTTTCTCCAGTCTGACCATAAGGCAGAGTGTATATTTTTTTTGTGTTTCACTTTTGTATAATTTAATTTCAAAATAATTTCAGGAACCAACAGATAGATATCACTTGTAAGTTTTTTTTTTTTTTTTTTTTTTTTTTTTTTTTTTTTTTTTTTTTAAATATATTTTATTGATTTTGTACAGAGAGGAAGGGAGAGAGGTAGAGAGTTAGAAACATCGATGAGAGTCATCGATCAGCTGCCTCTTGCACACCCCACTGGGGATGTGCCCACAACCAAGGTACATGCCCTTGACCGGAATTGAACCCGGGACCCTTCAGTCCCCAAGCCAACGCTCTATCCATTGAGCCAAACCGGTCTCGGCATATCACTTGTAAGTTTTTGTCCTCCATTTTGAAAATGTACTTTATTTGAACATTGGTAATTAGGACCCATCTTCAAACACCTCATTTTCTCCTTGCTGTAGCAAATAAATATTAGGGTGCTGAGCAGATGTGCAAAAGGTGACACTGGGCAAGTGTCCTGACACCCTAACATGCATTGTTAATTTGGGGGAGAGTAAGTTTAGGCACCAGAGCAATTCCTGTACTGCGGTTCATGACATTGTCATTGATGCTCACTCATCGCCCTTAGAGAAGGATTTAAAATATATATATCTTTTTATTGATTTCAGAGAGGAAGAGAGAGAGAGAAACATCAATGATGAGAGAGAATCATTGATTGTTTGCCTCCTGCACTCCCCCTCCAGGGGATGGAGTCTACAACCCGGGCATGTGCCCTGACCAGAAATCCAACTGTGACATTCTGGTTCATAGGTTGACATATTTTTTCAGAGGAAAAGTCGTGCTGAAAGGAAGCGACTGGGTTAATGAGCACCATGATTTCATTCCCAAGGGAGAATGTGGCTTCCTGCCAAGCCTGCTTTCTGGCAGGAAAAGGGACCCACTTCATCAGGTCCTCTGACAGGCGTTTTTTTCTGTATTTTGAGTTTTTAGCTACATCAATGCTCAGTGAAAAATTCGTTCTTTTAAATAGTTATTACTTTAAATAAGGAAGGATTTAGTTTTAAATTGGAATTTGTGTTGTGAGTAAAATAAGGATCATCAAATTACAGAGCTGTTCGGTAAGGGAACCCTGACATTGTCACAAGGTAAGGAAGCGTGATGTAGAATGAAAGCGTGAATATTCCCGCAGACTGAGAAGCCCTTCCTTTCCTTCTTGTTGTTAACAGCTGACACTGAAGTATACTCTTTGACTATCACTTTTTAATATTATCAGGCTGGTAAATATTTTGACCACGTCATTCAAAATAATTAAGTAAAACACGCAAAATATCCCTAAATCTTGGTAGTAAGAGAGGTCAAAAATATAGATATTTTTATAGAAGATAAAAATTAACATTATATTTGGTCTTCATTTTTCTTCCTTTTAAATGAGAAGTGACAAATGTAAATTAAATTTTACATGCATCCCAGTGACTTACTAAGCTAACATTTCCCCTAACTTTGTTCATTCTAACATTCTATTAGATACTGTGAGAATAAAAGGAAGTTCACTTGCAAATGTATGTCATATACCTACCCTTCTCTTGGAGTTTCATAACATGCTAGCATATGAAAGACATTAAAAGATGCTAAAGGGAAGCCATGTACTTGACTTTAACTCTATAGCTCCCAGACTTGACCTCAGCCCCTTTTGATTTGGAATGAGTATTTTATACTATACACATAGGGCACCACTGTACCAAGTAGTTAAAAATGTAATTAGGCTTTGAAACCTATATCTTTTTCATTTATTGCTTCTGGATAATGTTAATTGAAGCTCCTGGGAGACAGACAGGAAATATTAGGCCTGCTCTTGAAAGTATACACACAATGATCAAGAACAGTTACTAGGCCATGATCTGAATCACAGGCCTAAGGAAACATTTGGTATTTTGTTTGAATCAGACCCCCCTTTTTAGTATCATTCATAATTAAATACAGAGCTACCAGTCCATAGGCTGGAGTGCTCACATGAATTCCTGCTGGCAGTTAGACATGGTGACACTTAGCTGTTCTAACCCCTCGGGCAGAGATTACCACACTTTGGTTTTACAGAAAGCAATATCGCCTGCTAGTTTCCTTCCAGTGCTTTAGTCTCTGACAGGCCAGATGAAGAAAAAGCAAGCATGCTACGTCGTAAGCACATGTCTCCATTTAGAGATCCAGTTCTCTACCCATCTTTTAATTTTCACATGTTTGAATATTTCAATTGAAAAGAATTTGATATAAAACCATTCAAATTACAATTCAGAGAAATTGCCTGGTGAGTCTTTGCTTTGATCACTTGGAACGATCACATGGTTTAGGAACAGATTCTCTGGGTAGGTCATCTTCCCCTGCACCTGTGAAGGACAAGTTAAGCTTTGAATACTGCAACTCTGTAAACTTTGATAAGCACAGATTTACTGCAGAATGGCATATCTGTATTGTTCTTTAACCTACTTATCTTTCTTCATACTCAGTTTTTAAGCTGTACAGATTTTATCACTAATCACTTCTTAGTATTACGGTTTATGTTTCCAAGGTGCAGTTACACCTACCAGTATTATTCACATTTTCATTTTCATGTGACAGTTACTTCTCAAGAACAGATTTATTCTCTTAGGCAATGCAAGTCTCCAGAAGTAAGGGGCCATACTCCCCACCCTTTTTATTATTCCCCAGAGATCAGCCCAGGGCTGTTTGGTATGGCCACTTCTTAGTCTACTATGTTGACTGCTGATGAAGAACATCAGATCATGATCAGATCTCCATAGATTTCCATGGAGAACATATGCTCACCATGGTTGATTTCTCAAGTAATCAGCATGATGTCAACTGGCTTACAATTTAGCAATCAGATGTCCAAAGCCAGTATGAGTTGGCTCCAGCTCACAACTGTGGGTGATGTCTTTAAGAAGGAGATTGAACAGCCTTATAGATACAAAGAACAAACAGACTGATGCCAGAGGGAAAAGGTTTAGGGGTGAGTGAAATAAGATAAGGGGATTAAGAAGTACTGATTGGTCATTACAAAATAGGATGGGGATTTAAGGTAAAGCAGAGGGAATATAGTTAACAATATTGAAATAACTATGTATGGTGCCAGGTGGTCACTTGCATTATTGGAGGGAACACTTTGTACACCTGAAACTAATACAAAATAGCATTGAATGAAAACTGCAATAAAATTTTTTTTTACAGCTCAGCCAAGCATGGCTCAGTGGTTGAGCATCAACCTATGAGGTCAGGGTTGATTCCTGGTCAGGGCACATGCCCAGGTTGCTGGCTCTATTCTCATTATGGGGCATGCAGGAGACAGCCAATAAATGATTCTCTCTCATCACTGATGTTTCTATTTCTCCTTCCCTCTCCTTTCCTCTCTGAAATCAATGGAACTATATTTAATTTTTTAAAAAGGATGAATTTGAACACTTACCATGGAACAGTACAAAGGAAATGATTGATACCATTTGCTAAACTTGCCCTTGGGATTATTGAGAACATCCTTGATAAAATATGTCAGTAACCCAGTTTTTGATAGGAGAGGAAATAGAAGCAAATGTAACCATGATGAAGTAGTACCTCTACTTCTAGAGAGGAAGGAAACACACACCACCACCACCACCAGCCCCTCTATTCTACCACACCCACGGGTGAAGGGATGGCCTTACATGGCTTGTAGGGAAATTAAATAAGAGCAAGGGAAAGCATGACTGGCTCTGATTCAGCTCTTCAGCTATCACAGTTTTCCTTCACTGAGCTATTTCTCCTACTAATAACTCTGCATTTATTGTACAGGTGGAAGGGGACCAGCTCCCTCCGGGACACACCGTCAGCCAGTATGAGACTTGTAAGATCAGGACCATAAAAGCCGGCACCTTGGAGAAGCTGGTGGAGAACCTGCTGACAGCATTCGGGGACAATGACTTCACCTATATCAGCATCTTCCTGTCAACGTACAGAGGCTTCGCCTCCACCAAAGAAGTGTTGGAACTACTGCTGGACAGGTAGGAATCGGAAGGTGGGTGAGAGGCGATGGGAATGTAGGACTGTGCAGAGTGAGGGATGAGACTCTGAATCACCTGCAGTTGGTGCTGAGTGACATGTATGAGAAAGGATTCACGAATGAGTGGAGCCAATGGCACGGAGATTATTCAGGAGCCACTTATGGTCTATATGTGATGACGATATTGCATAAAATATCTTTAGGAGTTAGGAGGACTTGCTGTGAATCTAGACTTGATTGTTTATAGAGTTCACTTACTATTTGGCACCCTAGAAGTTTTTTTTCCCCCCCATGTTTTTATATAATTCCAATAAATAACTGGAAATTTTATTAGGTTGTGAGATTTAAATACACTAATATGTGTGAAGTATGGAGCTCAGTGTTAAATCTATAGGAAGCAGCTCATGAATGGTGGCTGTAAAAATGATGATTATGATGATGATAACTACCAACAACCACTGTGCATCGGCTGCTTTATGGACACGCACATGAATGCCATCCCTGATTTATGTTAAGTCACACGTCACATCTAGTAAAACAGTGTACATTGTAACTCACATACCGATGATTGTATTTCCTCCTTTATTTCTAATTAAACTTTGTCTTTTAAAAAATAAGCCAGACAATTGTTTTAGAATCCTGAGATTTCTCATCCAAACTTTTATATTCTAGGGTTTCCTGTACAAGAAAGGAAATGAGATAGGATGTTTTTGTTGGAGTTGTTGAATCCTGATTTTTAACTAGGTTTAAAAAGTTGACAGTAATATGTCCTCAGGTTAAACGTTCGTACACTATAGGAAGGTGTAAAAAACCTCATGGCTACCTTTTCCCAAATAACTTCCATTAGGTTTAAAAAATATATAGAAGTAGAAAGAAAAAAATTAAGACAGACCGTAACCTAATTAGGCAGATAATACACATTAAGATTTCAAAAGGAGAAGTAATCCATATACATAGTGAAAAGTTCAAACAATTAAAAAAATTATAAAAGTAAGAAGTAAAAATTTCCTTTTTCTCAAGTCCCATTTCCCAGTCCCATCGCTCCTGGATGATCACTACACACCATTGCTTTTGTATTTTTCCAAATTTTGGAGCGCCTATGTACATTTACAGATATGCACATTTATTTAGATATGTGTTATGCACATAATATTACATATACTGGTAGATTATACACTTAAGTATGATATAAATAGAATCATAATACATAGTCTGTTTTGAAATTTTTCTTTTCCATTATTATTACCTTGGAGATATTTTTGTTTATTAAGGGAATTAACATATGTAAATGGGCTTATTGGAACAGTGCTGACATTTTGAAAGCTCAAATAAACTTGTTATTTCAAAATCAGCGCATGTAAGTAGATTTACCATATTCTTTTTTATTGAACTGATTTTTCTATAGATAGACAGTTAAGCTCTCCCCAGTTTTTTAATTAATTTTTTTTAAACAATGCTGTAAATAGTGTCTTTGAATATATATCTTCCGAGTATCTGTTTGAGAATTCCATAGAATAATTTCATGGAAGAGAGGTTGATAGGTCAAAATGTCTTACCACTTTAAAATGTGAGAGATATTGCTAGATTGCCCTCCAAACAGCTGCACCAATCACACTCCTGTCCACAGAGGAGGGGGCACTTTTCCTATACCCTTGCCAACTCTGCCATTGGAACTGTCTCTAGCATGATCTATCCACTGAAAAATAACTCATTGTTTTTAAGTGTGTGTTTCTTACATTTATGAGTGAGGTTTAGCATTCTTTAAAATACTTATCGGGGCATTTGTGTTTTCTGTGAACTGTCTTTGCATATCCTTTACTTATTTTTAGTTTGGGCCATTGTCATCTAATTATTGGTTGTTTAATTACAACTATTTGAATATTAACAAAATTGGTGCTTTGCTTATCATATGTTGGAAATATTTTTCCTTGGGCTCAAAAGTTATTTTTTAAAATCCTTTTTATGAAGACATTTAAATATTTTTCTGCAATTGTATCTTGGTTTTACGAAAGGCCTTTTAATAATCAAGTTCTATTCCAATGGAAATAAGATTATTGATAACAGTGGGTTTTTCTCAAGGTATTTTCCTCATAGATGCATCTAGAGTGAAACCATTTGGACAGTATGTTCTGTATATTCAGGGGCATTCACAAGATAATCCCTCCTTATCATGCATTGATCTGGTTATAGTAACTCTGGACTTAGGAATCCTGTAGATTTTTGCATAGCAGTACTTAAAATACTAAGCCTGGAGTGTAAACCTGTGGGATTAATGAGTCATTTTTTTTCATAGCTTGTTTGCGTGTATAATACCTCTCACCTATAAATAGAACCTGAAGAATTATGTGAGTTTCTCTTTGCTATTCTATATTTAAAAAAAGGCTGAAGTATGCTAACTGTTGGCAGGCAGGAGGAGGAAATAGGTCAACCCATCAGAACTCCTGCAGAGTTTTTTTTGGAATGAGTGATCTCTTCTACTTCTGGGGTAACTCCATTGATTATTGGCTACAGATGGCCACAATCAGTAAGGCAGCATGTGTGAATTCCAGCTGCTCACCACAAACAGTGGACAGACACACAGGAACTAGAATATTTTGTCTATGACTGGTGGACATCCAGCTTTTATTTGATGATTTTTAAAAAATCTTCTCTTTGTTCTTCTATACTAGACATTTTTGGATTTTTAAAATATTAACTAGATGACAGTGATTAAATAACAGAATCAATATGAATTCTAATTCCATTTAAGTCAAATGGTCACTTAAAGTATAACTGAATAAAGAGTTAAAGTTTATCTTGAACCATTTGGATGGGCCAGGGCCTGGCCTTGAATTTAACCTCTTAGTATGTTTTTCCTTGCTTCTGAAGTGAGTGGAATCAACAAGTACCAATGAAACGGATATATAAGGCTTGGTTGCTTCTCACCATGGTGGTGAATTTGCTAAGAAGCTACCAGTACTTACCCTCCAGGAACCCTCACAGTCCCCCTCTACATAATTTATATTCATAATTTTGTATTCTTTTTCTTCAAGAGGACCCCTAAGATTACATATGCTGACCTTGCAAAACCTGGATCCACCCTAAGAACTTAATATTTTACTGAAAAAGATAAGGTTTACATGTGTGAAACAAGTAGACAACCACTTAAGGTGGTATAAAAATGAAACTCTAACATGCTCTGAAGAAGTTCAGAGAAATAAAACCCCATTTATTTTGCTTCCTCTGCAGAAATCTGGAGTTGTCCAGATATGTACAAACTTTAACATGAGTATTTCTTCCTCACTCCATTTCCTACTCACATTCAGATCTTATGACCAGATGTTAATGTTGGTTTCATTTTAATAAAAATTCAGATTCTGTACAACACTGGGTTCTTAAATTTATTTGGGGAGATTTTAATGTCTATAATTGGGAGGTAAGCGATTAAGTTGCATGAGCTTACCTTTTCTGAATGTTTTTAGTAGTTTAGAGAGAGAAGAAAAGAGAGATGGGGAGAGAGAGAGAAACATTGATTAGCTGCCTCACCCCCTACTGGACATGTGCCCTGACCAGGAATGGGACCCTGGTGACCTTTCGGTCCATGGGACATTCAACCAACTGAGCCACTTAGCCAGGCAATATGCTATTTTCTTGTTAAGAAATTATAGTAGACTTGTTTGTGAGACTCTGGTGTAATTTTAAAAATAATTTCTCTTGGTTTCATAATAATATATTGCTTATCTTTTGTGAAATCGACACTGAAAAGCTATTGTAGAATGTGCTAATCCTAACCAGCCAAGAATGGATTGAAGGCAGATGCTGCAATATTTATTTCCCTCCAGAGAAGAGCTTATTTGAAGTCAAGCTTTGATTTTCCTTAAGACCTCCAATCACATGGCTTTTCTTCTATGGAACGGTTTGCTTTCTGTGATTTAAAAAAAAAAAATCTTTTTATAATTTTTTTATTCTGTTAATATGAGCCTTTGTGTTTGACCAGTAGACAGTGGTTTAAGTCCTCCCTGGCTAATTCCATGTGTTTGCGTTACCCTTTACTTGGGGTGATCAGCAATTCCCAAGGAATCCTGCTTTCTGTGCTGCTCACCATGGCTCAGAGTTAATTCTAGGGCCACTGGCTTCCTTTCAGTCTGAGAGGAAGTTTTTGAATTGTGGTTTAGTTGTTTGTATTGGGGCTTTGAGATTTTATCTTCTCTAACTTTAAACATACATTCCACTTAAAAATATATTCTTCCCACCACACCATTAAAAAAATATAAGGGAGGAAGTTTCCTCTGAAAATACTCAATGTCAAGTGCAGGGAGAAACCTAACTCAGCTAGTGATCCTCACTGAGAGCCTAGAAGTGTTTGTAAAAACATCTTGATTTTTCTTCAGGCAGCTGTCACATTAGCTACTTTTGGGATATTTCTCAATTATTCTCTTTTTCTGCATCTCTCATAGCAGAAATAAGCAAGGTGCTAAGAACGGGCAGAATAGGGGTGAACGAGGTCCCCAGAAAGTCACTGATGGCACTCAGGCCGCAGTTTGGAAAGGACTGAGCAGGAACCTGAGTTACCCCTTCGTTTCAAGGGCATTCTCCAGGGAGGACTTCTGGAGGGGACTAAGGTGGTAGCCACCGTGAACATGATGCTTTAAGACCAGTGTGGCTTGAATTTGCTTACTTAGGTCACAGAGAGGGGTCTTTGAATTTATTTCCTCTTCCCATGTTTGCTTGCCATGAGTTTTCGTAGACATTATCTCATTTAGTTCATCCGTCATTACATTACTCCCATGTTTACAGATGTAAATGTTGAGGCATAGAAACATTCAACCAGTAAGTGGCAGAGCTGGAATTAAGACCTCCATCTTTCTGACTTGGAAGCTTTTTATGATTTTATTTTATTTATTTTAAATCTTGATTGTTGAAAGTATTACACATGCCCTCCCCCCATTTTTCCCCCCTACCCCAGGCTTTCACCACACTATTGTCTGTGTCCAGGAGGGAGCGGGGGGAGCTTTTTTCAAG